TGCGTGTTGAGACGCACTCTTCGTATGCCGTCGGGAGCTATGGTCTCGAGCTCCTTGGAGACCCTGATGCAGTTGAGGCTTTTCACCTGCATTCGGGAAGAAAAAAACTGAAATTCGGTAGAACTGGAAAGGGTCCTGTAACTTTTTCAAGTAACCATCGAGGGGCTTTGCTAAAGGAGTTGATTGCCTCACGAAACGACCGCTGCAAGAATGTTTAGGATCCGTCAAGTGCGAGCGGAGTTGCAGACATTTGTGGCACGCTGTAATAGCTTTCTGACGAGAACACTGGTGTGTTACATGAGGCGTGCGTCGTTACCTTGAACATTTTTCCTTTTAACAGCGAAGCTGTTTTTTGTCGGGGCTTTCATGTCTGTTTGCCATCGTAGATTGTAAATAGCAGTTGTGCGTTCGAATACAACCAATAAGTTCATTTTTGTCAACGCTCTTTTGTTTCTTTTTTCTGCGTAATATATACGGATGATTGATGTTTATGTACGGATAATTAACGTGTTTGGCGATTTCAAGTGATTCGTTCTAAACTATGGGAAAGCAGCGAGCCGTCCCTATTCTACATGATAGAGGGTACAGTGTTAACATACGGTTAACATACGGTACACGAACACTGAGGTGTTTAGAAGAAATGTTCGATGATTTAAAGTGCAATGTACTCTACTATAGGAGAGCATTAAGCTGTCTCTCTGAAAGGATATAAAACTTCAACAAAATAATTCACTTAGATGTGGCATATCTGTCTGTCTGCCAGTCACTTGATTCAGCCACCCGGCCAAGGTTTTTGCTGAACGCCTAGCCATCTTGAACTAATGGCTGCATTCATACTTGAGAACATTGCCGATCAAAAAGGAAATATTAGGCATATTTGAGGTGCGACATCAATACGTCAGTATTAGAAGGCGTGTTTCTTTACTAGAACATACATATATACCAAATTCTAAAGACCCTAGCGTTTCTTAGGCTGCACTGAAAATGTGACTCTATTCACGAGAGAAGGCCGGCAGAACGCTGCCAATCTTTTTAAATGCGAAGCATTTCTTAGCGAACTTCGGCGACTTTGAGCGTATCTATCTCTATCTATCTGTCTGTTTGTCTGTCTGTCTCTGTCTGTCTGTCTGTCTGTCTGTCTGTCTGTCTGTCTGTCTGTCTGTCTGTCTGTCTGTCTGTCTGTCTGTCTGTCTGTCTATCTGTCTGTCTATTTATCTATCTATCTATCCGCCTACTACTTTTAGCTCTCCTGGCCATTCCGATAATGGTATCAACATCAAACTTTGTTTGACACAACATGATTGTATGACGAGCATACTTGTGAAGTCAAAACATGAAAACCATGAAAAATACGCCATGAATGTTATGATTTACATTTCATGGTCCTGCAGATCTTGAGGTGGTTTTGTTCGCATGGCATGTTGCAAAACTGGCATGGTATGGCATGATTGCATGCTGAACACAAGCGACAGACCCTAACATGAAAATCATGACATGCGTGTCATGTAACAACATGATTACATGCCAAGCACATGATGTGCTCGCGGCTGTTTTGCTAGCGTCACATATACCAAGTTTGGTATTACGGTACGTGAATGGATGACGAAGGTATGATACTGGTTCAAACATGATAAGCATGAGATGCGGGTCATGTAACAACATGTCTACGTGCTACGCTCATGATGCGCTCACGGCCGTTTTGCTAGCTCCACATGTACCAAACTCGGTATTATGGGACGTTAATCGATGACGAAGGTATGATACTGGTGCAAAAATGATAAATATGAGATGCGTGTCATGTAACAACATGACATGTTACGCTCATGATGCGATCGCGGCCGTTTCGCCAGCTTCGCATGTACCAAACTCGGTACTACGTGACATGAATGGACGACATAGGTAAATGACACATTCAAACATGATAATCACGACATGGGTGTCATGTAACAACTTGACTACATGCCACACTGATGATGCGCTCGCGGCCGTTTTGCTAACTTCACATATGCCAAATTTGATATAACGTGACTCCAATGAATGACGAAGGTCTTTGACTGGTGCAAACGTGATAGTCATGAGATGCGTGTCATGCGAGAACATGACTACATGCCACAGCCAAGTCTACAATACATTTCGACGTGACGCGGTGCGCGTACTCGCCGGCGGTCATTTCGTCGGGTCACGCCGGCGTTGCCACGCCAGGCACCTGTCCTGCCATAAACTCGCAGGCGCGCGGCGCGCTGCGTTGCTTTGACGCATGCGCGTTTCAGCGCGTCCGGCGTCCCCCCTCCATGAAAAGAGGGAGACGCAGTGTTGTCTGGGTAACGCATCGGCGCGAAATGCAGCATGTCGCATTTCGCACCGGTTGCCGTTGGGTCGCGCCGATGGACGCTGGTCGCGCCTGGCGTCAGACAATGGAGTACTCGCGTTTCGCTAACCTAGCGTCGCTGTGCCCAGCGTGCGCGCGCGTCAACGCTACATTGGAGTATATTGGGCCCTTCATGATGCGCTCGCGGCCGTTTGCTAGCTCCACATATACCAAATTTGGCGTTACGTGACGTCAATGGATGACGAAATATATGACATGTGCAAACATGATAATTCTGACACGCGTGTCATGCAAGAACACGACAACATACTACGTTCATAGCGGGCTCAAGGCCGTTTTGCTAAGCTCCACATGTACTAAATTTGGTATCACGTGACGTGAATAAATGAGGAAGGTAAACGTCACACCCAAACATGATAATCGTGACTCGGAAGTCATGTACGGCATCATTTAACCTCCACCTCGTAACGTTGTGCTGATTTTAAAAAGTGACATATCAACATTTCTCATTCGTGCTTCGCACATCATCGATTCTCACTGTACGTGGGATCTGCTAATATTTTTTTCTTTTCTTTTTTGCTTGAAGTTGATCGGAGTATGAACCGAGGCTTGACTAAACCAACGACTTGTTACTAGCGTCGATGCAATGCGCGACTTGTTGCATACGCGTGCACTATAGTGTCAAAGAAACGCGAGAACTGACCTACGTAGCCCCGCCGCGGTGGTCTAGTGGCTAAGGTACTCGGCTGCTGACCCGCAGGTCGCGGGTTCGAATCCCGGCTGCATTTCCGATGGAGGCGGAAATGTTGTTGGCCCGTGTGCTCAGATTTGGGTGCACGTTAAAGAACCCCTGGTGGTCTAAATTTCCGGAGCCCTCCGCTACGGCGTCTCTCATAATCATATGGTGGTCTTGGGACGTTAAACCCCACATATCAATCATATCAATCAACTGACCTGCGTAATGCCGTCTATTGGCACGATGAGAGCCGTGGTACCCACAGCGGTACGAGCCGAGCCGAATCGAAGCGACGGCAAGAAGGCGTCGTTCTCCTCCTCCCGACGGGTGGAGCCGCCGTTCTGCAAGTACGGGCCGTTGTGGTGGTGGTAACAGGGGCCCAGGTAGGTGGGCGAGACCTCCTGACTCGCCGCCAGACGTTGCATCCTGTCTGCCAGAGGCTCTTCAGCATCGTTCAAATGTCGGTTGTCGCCGATCGGCTGCCTAGCGTCGCTAGCGGCACGCTCGCTAGGCCAGCGCGAACGGTCGTCGGACGCCGCCGTGTCGGGGTCTCCGTCAAACGGGGACTTGTAAGCCGTAGTTTTACCAGGAACCGCCGCTGTTTCTTCGTCCTTGACGAGGGCTTGGACCACGTCGTCGTCCACCTCTACGATGGGAGGGATCTTCGATTCCGCGACGCATGGCTTCACTTGGGCGGTCGGCTTTTTCGAGGTTTTAGTCTGTGTGTTGGCGCTGCTGTTTGAACTCTTGCTCTTGGGGCTTCGGCGCTTGGCCGATCGACGGTTCTTGCGAGACATGTTGACTTGCGCCGAGTTTGAAGGTCAAAACTTTGAAACAGGGCGTATAGTGCTTCTTTTCTTCTTTCAAGTGGTAGTTCTAGCCTCTCTTCTGTGGTGATTGTTGAGAATGTGATGACCTCAGAGTTTTTCGTCGGCGTTGCGGTATCGGGAGTTCCTCCTTTTCCGTTTTCGACTGGACGTTCTTAGCGCCTGTTCGGTCGCGGTTGTAGCCACTCTACTGAGCCCCAAGTGCGCTGGGTTTCTGCGGCTTTTCGCGTTGTATTTCGCCCAAATTTATGAATGCCGTCGGGATACCTCTTGCACCTGCCACGCGGGCGTATTCAAGAGCTGCTGCCTCGTTCGTGTAGAAAGTTATTTCTTCGTGTCGCCGCCGTGACAGCATCTGCCAAGCTTCCCAAGTTGTGTATAGGTTGCAGTGAAGGGTGTAAGAGACTAACTAACTGGCCCCCTTATTGACAGATGATCATAAATAGCGGCTGTTGAGTTTTCTGTCGACGATTCTAGAAAGAAAAGAAGTGAAATACGGACAGCAGTTAAGCCCCCATGGGAACATCCCAGGTAGCACAAAAGAGATAATTGTCGCCTTTTAACGGTTCGTTCGAGACAACGAAAACTTTGAGAAGATGACATGTAATAAAAGCTCACAGTATAGACGATGTCGCATATCTTGCCCTGCTAGAATTCATTTTTAAGACCATCTGTAAAATGTTTCTCAATGTCGCAAAAAAAAATTCCATTCTAGAAAAGGGATTGCCGGATACCCAAAATATATATCTGTATTGTCCCTCAAAAGCCGTTTTCTAGATGTTCTTAAGATGTTGTACAGGGTGAGTTTTTTGGCTGTTCTTTTACATGCAGTTAGTGCACGTAGCCCTCGCTGTATTAGCAATCTTTCAGACAAAAGTGGCCGTGTAATATTTTTTTGTGTGTAGAACATAAAAAATTCCTGTACCATAAAAAAGTACGAACCACAAAATGAGGTGTGGCATCCAACTACATAACTATGTATAGAAGTATCACTGTAGCTTAAATGCAGCTATATTGTATCCTGGCCCGTACCACCCCTTCTTACACCGTGGCCCGTACAGACAGACTGAACTTTATTACAGTCCCGAGAACGATTCGGAAAGTTCCCTCACTGGGGGCAGCCGCCGCGGGCAGCTCCCACGTCGGGACGGGCAGGGCATGCCTGATCGCCGCGTCGCGGGCCCATTAAACGGCCAGTAGCAAAGCTGCGAAGTCGGATCTCTTGAGCGCCTCCTCCTACTCTCCTTCCATGATGAGGTGACCGTTGTGCCGAGAGACACCGCCAGAACATGTGCTCCAAAATGCAGAAGGGATCTCCGCAATCCGGGCCATCGGGCTCGTAGGAGTCCGCGTACTTGCTGACCCTGGATAGGTTGGGATAGGACCAAGTTTGCAGCATGCGAAGGGTGGAAGACATGAGGTCTCGAGAGCTTGGTGTGAGTCGGAGGATACACCCCCCTGCAGAGCTTATAGTGCTTCGACACCTCGTTGAGGCGAGGGTATACGATGCGTAGACACGCTAGCGCTGAAGATGTCAGTTCTGTTCTAGCCTTGAGGAAGACAAGTCTGCTTGTCTAAATGTCGGCACGAGCACACACTGAACCCTGTTTAAGGATTTTAAATGCGAGAGGAGAACCTCTTGGCTCTATTGAGAGGGGCCGGCTTTGCAGATAAAGGATGAGGTTAACAAAGGTGCATCGAGATAGTCAAGCCAGCGGGATCACAACACCGAGAAATACATACCGAGCTCCTACCCGAGAAACGCACCGTTGACTCTCATGCCCTTGGAAATTCGAAGCAAACATAAAAGCGTGCATAGGATCTCGTTACAATGCACTGCAGAGAGTACTGCGGAAGGAACCATCAACCGGTGTACTGTGTCGCTGCAAGGATTCTCTTATCCACAAATTTCAGTGACACAGTAAAGCCTATGACACGTGCCGTAGCTCTGTAGTTTTAGAATTGGGTATGAAAAACTTTGTTTAGCGTTCGTCGCCAATGCGCATGCGTTCGTTACGTATACGCAACAAACGCTATTTTGTATACCTTATTGTAAAACTGACTACTGCGCACGCGTCGTACGCTATCCTCTTGTGCACCGAGTACTCACGTTAAGTACCGGAAATAGCACACGTCTCCAACTTGCGCCATCTTTGCGTATCATATTAAAAACTTCCTATTACGTGGCCCACGCAGCTTAACAACGCATATACCTTGAAATCCCTTATCAAGCAGCCAAGAAAAAATCATACGATCATTTTACTGAAATTAGTTTAACAAATACAAAACTTTAGTTTTCAGCATGCATCGGTGCGTCCAAAGCAGACGACGCAGCCGCCGGTCCTGGTTAGCACGTCACGCCGACCGTGGCGCCAGCTCTTCCAGTGGTGGCCCTGGCGCCCACTATTAGAATGCATTTGCCGATTTCCTGGTTACTCTACGCAAAATTGGCCACAACTCTCGGGGAGATGATAGCGCGAATGTATAGGCAACCAACTCTCTGCGAAACTCGCCCAATCGCAAGGAGTCATGCTGCCACTGAAACTAGCTGATCCACGTACAATGCATGGCTACCTATGACAACGCAAAAAAACGACTACTTTAAAATGCTCTACATGCCTTTGAGCATCACCTGAATCGTGATGAACGTCAGTGGACTTCCCCGGATTCAGGAAGCAGCTCATAACAAGAGTGGCATGCCGGCAAAGTTCAATAGCCCAGGTTGTTGTCTGGCGGTTGCGAACAGCTTCCGCAGTCTTATACAGGGCTCGCATGGCGCGACGGCATCAGACTGCGTGACCACGTTCAGCAAAATGATCGACTCCACATTTCATAACTCAGCTTGAAGGCTCTTGCGCCAGGCTGCGCAACAAAACGGTTTCCGATAATTTTAAGCATGATTTAAAGATATAAATCCTGGTCGCAACGCGAAAAGAATGCTGGAATGTGTCACCATATTTCATGTTCTTTTCATTTTTACTACGATCTAATAATTGCGCGGTCTGGCCAGTTGTGTGGCCACCTTCTGGCTAATTCCTACCAATTATCTTTGTTTTAATTGATGACGTACCTCAATGTCCACTCTATCATGTACAACCTCTTGCTAAATACCACTTTTTTTTTCAAATTTTTATCAAGGTTTTTGGACAACTCGCTCCGAAGCTTGACAGGATGGTCTGCAGGGCAGAAATGGAATGGTATCACGCGGTATTCGAGCACCTAAAAATGTGCAGAACAAACCTGGCAAACGCGACATACACATAACATATAAAAACGAAAACGAAATGTAAAGAATTAACGCATTCTTGACTTCGCGAGAATGCATCAACTCCTAATTGCTCAAACATATCAGCATTTAAAAGGCTCCATTCATCACGCTTCGGACAGGTAGGCGGCAGTACAAGCGAATGGCGCGCGCGTATTTTCTTGCTTGCGTCCCGCTAATTCATTTCCGCGTGATACCCGCATACCCGTTTGGAGCACGTAGGCAAGGTGCGCCCCCTAGCGGCGTTTTATGCGAGAGAGAGAGGATCGTGAAGAATTATGGTCGCCTGAAAGCGAACACCGGAACCTCAGCGCTGACTGGAATTGAATGCGTGTAGAGGCGTGCAATTGTTTCAACGCTATGCGGCTCGATTTCTGAGCCAATCGCGAGCCTGCAGTGTGCCCGCGAGCTACCGTGCTCCGAGCAGGGTTGAGTGACCAAATGAATCTGGGACGGCGAGGCCCCGGTGGCGGCGCCGCTGTAGTAACGAACCTCGTAATAGATGGCGCGCCTCTCTAAGAATAGCTCCGAAACGAGAGGAATGTGTGAGGCGATGTATTCGTTTTGAAACTGAGCTCGTTACGGCTCAACGTATGGTTTGGGCGTCGCCACATTTGCCGTTCCGGGTACGGCTTAATCTATTGAAAGCATTGAGGTGACTAATTAAATAATGCGTGTTATTAGATGCTCTCTAAAACTTTTGATGGTGGACCTTGTCGTTGAACAATAATCGTCATTTTTTCGACGTTTGTTCGCTCATGCACTCTAAAAATAAAAGAGAGAGAGAGAGAGAGAGAGAGAAAGTTTTGCGTCCTTTGGTGTGGTTTCGATAAGGCTAAGTCGTGCTGACAGCGTGCAGGCTGCTTTTTTTTTTCTTAGTCTGTATTTACCTGGCGCGCCGCGGTAATATTTGGGGCTAACCAAAAAAATTAAAATTTGGAAAACTTAAACAATGGACTGCGCTGCCTTCTCTTCCTGCAAGTTTGGTTGCGCTGCCGTTCCAATACGAGTACGATTAAATAGCCCAAATTTGACTCTTGTCACAATGTATATACATGCACTCACAAACACACGCAAGAGCATGCATAAAGGATACCCCTGATTTACGGCTTTTCGGGATTGGGGGGTGGGGGGAGGGGGTATACAGTCTTTTCTTCTCTTTCGTAAGTAACCCCCCCTCCCAACCCTACCCGAAAAGGGGCAGTAAGGTAAAACCCCAAGTAAGTTTGCAACGTCTTGGGGTTTTACCTTAAACGTCTTGTTTAGGGGCTTGTTTACCATAAACGTCTTGTTTAGGGGCTCGTTAATAACGCTGTTGTAGGTGTAATATTACAAAAAAATGGTGGTAACAGCCCCAGTTTCGAATACTATAGCGCCGTAATTTCCTCATTGGCATGGAAAACCGACGTATATACGTCACAGGTTCAGTGCCTTTGCTCGTATTTTGGCTACATAAGATCAACTAAATTTCCATTCTGAAACTTGCGACGTTACTTCTCTGTCTTCCTGGAGGCGAAAATGCTGTAGGCTCGTGTGCTCAGATTTGGGTGCACGTTAAAGAACTCCAGGAGGTCGAAATTTTTGGAGCTCCCCACTGCGGAGTCTCTCATACTCACATGGGGGTTGTGGGACGTTATATCCTGCATATGAATCAATCAATCAATCAATCAATCAATCAATCAATCAATCAATCAATCAATCAATTATTCAATCAATCAATTGACTAACCTCACTGGCTTCCGTAGAACGCAGTGCAATTCGTTTCTGCCTTACAGCAGCAAACGCCGTCGAAATAGAAGACGTCACTGCCAGTTAGTGCCGGAAGCTCACGACGGCGTCGCCACTTGTATTTTCTGTTTCTAAGTTTCCTGTCCTTCCGAACGTGGCTAATTGGGAAAATGCGTTAGTCGCGAGTGTGAGTGCGCAGAAACTATACGAAGAAGCAATGCTAGATAACCTATCTCGAGAGGTCTCTGCATTCGCTTGCACTAGCTATAGTTTCTCGATCTTCTGGTTCACTCAGCACGTATACGTGTTGCTATAGGGTTGACTCTATCATCAGCGTGCATCGCTACCTATGAAATCATTTAGGCGTTCCTAATGTCCTTCAAGCTAACGACATCACACGCAAAGTTTGAAGCTCGCAACTCTTGAATGCAGTGAGAGATAAATCAAAAGCTACAACAGAAGTCGCTTTGATAGATCCCAGCTCGTGATGAAGGCGGGCGCCTCGTTTAAGCTCCTCTGCTTAAACTTTTGTACAGAGTGCTTGAGCGGCGATTTCTCTTACTTTCCATAAGTCATCTGTGCCAGCTGCGTCATTTCTTAGTTCCTGCCTATTAGAACTCGGCGTACGCATTGGCTGTGTACTCATTACAGCCAGCTTTCGGGTGACTGCACGGTTCCAACGGGACATAACGAACGTTCCAGCTATCAGTGCTGCCGTGGTGCATACAGTTGCACCGCCTGTGGCTATCGAGTGCGAGCTATTCGTTCGATAATCTCGGTTTATATGGTAGAGCGCGAAAAAAACATTTATAGGTTAAATAAGATGGAGAGGTGTGTATACACGTAGGCCGCAGAGCGATCACCGCACACGAAGCAGGCACCTAACAGGAGCGAAGCGAAACTCGGAATTCAGGCCGAGTCGTGGTTCGATGAGGCCCGCGAATACGGAAACGTTCGCATTAATGCGACAACAGTCGCGGCAGCCACCGTTTCCAGAAAGGCGTTGCTGATTGAGCGCGCGTCCGGATCGCCTCGCTCGAGGCTGCGAACTTAGATTCGCGCGCGTTTTTCTCGTTTTGCATATATAGTATGTGTACACACGTCGACGTGGAATGCTACACTTCCTCCTCCTGGTGGTGGCGCTACACACCTCGTTCCCGTAAGCACGTGGCGCGTGGCGATCCGAACTGCGGCGTGCTTATCTGAGCCTATAGAGACCGATTCGCATCGTCGCATAGGCGTGCCTTACAAACATGCCAACCTTATAGAGGTGGCATGTGCGTAAGGGGGAAACACAGTTTCTTGCGACCCCTCCTCCTACTCGGTCGTGCCCACATGAAGACATGTTTCTAATTGATGAAAAGAGAAATTAAACTGAGGTGATGATGATATGGTCGTAGTCGGAAACCTGCGCAGGCATAACCCTACTCTTCAAGCTTTGACGGGAGAGGTCCGACGGAGTAGGGGGACTTGTGGGGTGGTGTGGGAGGAGGTGTGCCCCCTCTCCTTGCGATAGCCTATGCGTGGTCGTACGCGTGTACTATACGCCTAAAAACGGCTGGTGCTCACATTGGCGTGACTTGCGCTTCGTACGCTATATCGAGTCGCTCATAACACTTGGCTTTTCCCAAGCCTTACGTGTTGAACAAAATGTACCCGGAGGAGATTAAGCCGCAATGCAAATGGTGTCAGGCTGTGGCAACATATGATCACATACTTTGGGAATGTAGCATAGTGCCGCCGCCGGTGGATATCATGCGTGATCCCTCTCTTGAGCACTGGGAGGCCGTGTTGACCAGCTCAGACCCAGTCGTCCAGTTAAGGGTCGTGGAGTGGGCCACACAGGTCGCCGCCAACCTTGGGTTGATGGCCGTCTAACACGGTATCATCCTCAGTTGCGTTCTGACGAAATAAAGTTTTTCCATCCATAACACTTGGCTGGTTTCTTTTTTCCTCCTTCAAAATAACGTAAAAAAATTTGACTAATGGTGGGGACTGTTGACGGGCATTAGGAAATTAGGACACGCTATTTTCGACGGGAATCAAATGGCCGTAATCGCGCGTTCAAGTAACCAGTGACAGCCTAAATCCACACGGAAAGTCGCGAGATATTGCGTCACTGATCGCGACCCTCCACGGCGAAACTTTCCTGGCGTGCAACACACAATCTTGATTAATTTATGCATGTCGGCGTGCAAGGTATGTGTCGAAAGCATAGAGTGCAGATTGCTTTGCGTAATATGGCCTTCAGTGGAGGCACCGTACGTATACTGGTGCTGTGTGAAATCCGAACATTTTACAGCGAAAGCTGTATGGGATCACCTTTCGGGTCATGCGCAGTTGTTGTCCGCCGCCGCCGTTGATCGTAATTTTGCACCAATGGCATAGTGGGGCTTGAGACCGGGTCCGCTGGGTGCCAGCCCAGTGTTCTACCACTGAGCTACACCGGTGCTTGTGACTTGTTGTCAAACTTGCCTTAGGCAGGATTGCTTTCGGGAAAGCAATCGCATTGATACGATTCATAAAGCGTTTTACAACAGCGAAAAAACAAGTCGTCGCACAATGCGAATAGCGTAACGAGTGGGTCGTCCAATGCTCCAACCCATCACAAAAGCTTGTTCTTGTTCCCCTGCTAACTGTGGCGCATACCCACTTCTGCCATAATTCCTCATCGTCGTCAACCACTGCATGCATGGACAATTGGCTCAAAATGCCTTGCAGGCGTTTAGCGGATAATACGTTTCTCAGAAGAATGACGAAAAATAGCATATAGCGAATGCCGACCTACTACCCAAATGTTTATTATTAATGCTTTAGTGGGTACCATGCAAGTGTGCTTACGGTAGTTACCCAATGAGTGTTTTGAAAAGGCTCTGAAAGGCCGCTATTCTAGCTTTCGCTGTGACTGTGCTGTGCCTACCGCGCAGGCCTGGTGCTTTTTTATAGAATTTCGTACTGCATTTAGGGCTTACAGCGACCTAACGAAATGTGATTACCGGTGTCACTGCGCGTCTGGTAGTCAACGAGTTTTAACGGCGCAACCTCGGCGTTCCTCTCTGCACGCTAACGCGCATTTTATGTAGTACGCCATCACGGGATTTCCTATAACTTGGTGGGGTAAGCCTCTGGCTCCCCCGGGAGACAATGTCCTTCATTTTTACCGAATATCTATTGGCCTTATGAGACACCGGGAACGTCTGTTACGGCATGGCAAATGGCGCGCGAACTTCAAAAGGTAGCGTTACTGCCACAGGCGTTTTCTCGCTAATCAGGTGTCTTCTCACAGCAAGCGTAGTTTGCTAATCGCGGCCCCGCCACGGTGGTCTAGTGGCTAAGGTACTCGGTTGCTGACCCGCAGGTCGCGGGTTCAAATCCCGGCTGTAGCGGCTGCATTTCCGATGGAGGCGGAAATGTTGTAGGCCCGTGTACTCAGATTTGGGTGGACGTTAAAGAACCCCAGGTGGTCAAAATTTCCGGAGCCCTCCACTACGGCGTCTCTCATAATCAAATGGTGGTTTTGGGACGTTAAACCCCACATATCAATCAATCAGTTTGCGATTCGCGAAATAGTAATTTGCTAATTGCAGAAAAACCGTTTGTTTATTTTGCCCTTTTAATACTATTGGACATTACCCGCTTCGTTGGTCTAGTGGTTAAGGTACTGGGATGCTGACCCGCAGTTCGCGGGATCGAATCCCGGCTGCGGTGGCTGCATTTCCGATGGAGGCGGAAATGCTGTACGCATGTGTGCTCAGATTTGGGTGCACGTCAAAAAACCCCAGGTGGTAGAAATCTCTGGAGCCCTCCACTACGATTGATTGATTTGTGGAGTTTAACGTCCCAAAACCACCATGGTGGTTTCGGGACGTCCGCTTCCACTGCGATGAAACTGTTCACTCCCAACTGATGGGTTTCATTTGCGGTGCCGACTTTCCTAATGGGTAAGGAGGGATGCACCGACCTGGCACTGGGTTGATTGATTGATTTGTGGGGTTTAACGTGCCAAAAACCACTATATAATTATGAGAGACGCCGTAATGGAGGGCTACAGAAATTTCGACCACCTGGGGTTCTTTAACGTGCACCCTCTGCTGAGCACACGGGCCTACAACATTTCCACCTCCATCGGAAATGCAGCCGCAGCAGCCGGGATTCGATCCCGCGACCTGCGGGTCAGCAGCCGAGTACCTTAGCCACTAGACCACCGCGGCGGGGCAAGAGCCCTCCACTACATCGTCTCTCATAATCATATGGGGGCTTTGGGACGTCAAACCCCTCTTACTAATAAATCGATCATTAGGCATTGCATCAAGCACTGATGCAATCGTGACAAAATCTCCTCGTAATTTGAAAAAAAAAACGCTCCCGGTTTTCCTTTGAGCTGCAAACCGCAAAAGTCGAGACTGACAGAACAAACGATCGTCCCAGTTGAGTTCATTGCTCGCTTTTTAGTGACCCATTAAGAAATGAGTCGAGTCGCAGCCAGATAACGTCTTTTTTTTCCAGACAGCAAACGACGAAGGAAAAACCGAGCAAGCGTATATAATGAAAACGCGCAACGGAAACCGTGTCACATTTCTTTAGCGTTACGGCGATCCCGCTGGCGTCCGCTTCGGTGTGCGGCACCTCGAGCCATAAAAACGGCGCGTACGAGTTTTGATGCCTTTTCCTACATCGCCGTCGGGGCGTGATGTTGCACTTCCTCGAAGGACACACCCCGTCATCCTATGCGCACAAGCGAGGCGCCATGTGATCTCGATCCAGGCATCTCCGACAGTTTCGGTTGTTTCTTACGTCCCCCCCCCCCTTCCCCCGAGTCGGTCTGTCGGTGCTACGATCGTTTCGCTTGTGTGGGTACATTAGTGCGTCGATCTGAGCCCTTGTTTTGCGACCAACTTACATAAGTTCTTGTCGAGTCTCTCCTTTTTTCTTTGTGAATGAGATTTCCGCTTGTCCTGCGTAGTGGCTGTCAGCCTTGTTACACGGCCATACCATTCCTTTTTAATCGCTGTCGCTGCCTTCCCTCGGGCGCCACTTTCCTGCGTTGAAAGCGCGTTTCTCGAAACTCTAAGCTTGAATCGGTCCCCGTAATTCGGGACGGAATTCGGTCAGCGTTGCTGTGCCGCTATTGTGGCTAATGCCGCTTCCCCTGGCACGTACTACACGTCTCGCTCGACCATACTTTCCTGGACGTGTACGTCTTTATTACACTTACCGCTGTAAGTGGACACAGCATTTAGATGCATGCATTGGGCGAACTTGCGAGAACCGTCTGTTGGCGCCGTTGTGATCGACAATATCTTTGTGAACTGACTTGTTCGTTTGTGTTTTGTTGCGGGAAGTCCCCTCATGGATGTATGGAAAGAGGGAGTAGGTTGGAGTGGGACAGGTTACACGTATATAGGAAGGTGACGGACATGTTAAGATGGAGCTATGCATTGGATCGTGTCGCTTTTCTTAGCGAACCAAAGCCGGATATGCCACTGTACGACGCGCGCGCGCGCGCGCGCGCGCGCGCGTGTGTGTGTGTGTGTGTGTGTGTGTGTGTGTGTGTGTGTGTGTGTGTGTGTGTGTGTGTGTGTGTGTGTGTGTGTGTGTGTGTGTGTACGCGGCATTTGTACATATGTTTAGCGTCATTTGGTAGCGTTTCGCCCAACAAAACATTACGCCACACAATGGGTGTATGCAGATCATTTTTTTTTCGAGAAGGGGGGGGGGGGGGGGCACCTCTTCAATTTGAAGAGCGGAGGGCTGCAAATGGTGACCTGGCGCTATGTATGCCATGGCGAAACGAAAAAAAATTGCGTAGGGGGGGGGGGGGCGAGGGCCTGCTGTGCCACCCCCTGGCTACGCCGCTGCAACACATTCACCTTCCCTCCGCATGCTTCGATGACATCGTTTCGCATGGTACAATGGATCTGCCAAACTTTTCTCTCTAATACGCCACTGGGTCACCCGACCTATACACATCAATCATTGCCTCCTCAGCTTTTTTTTTGCTTTTCTTCACGATATTGTTAAAACATCGTGTTTGAGCTTTATTTATACAACAAAATAGAAGACAGAGAAAGCGTTCAACGATGGAAAACAGCGTTCATTTTGGAAACAGCTATAGCACACTTTGGATTGGTTTTCTCCCTCCGTCGTCCCCGCAGCCATGTCTTACTGTGTCTTCGCTGCTGGATCTGGACTCGTGGGCTTCGAGACTTCGGCGGACGTGGGAGACGCCTTGGACACCGACGACGATGGTTGGTGTCCCTGGTCGTCGCGTCTTCGAATTTCCTACGAAACCAGGGACAGGCACCAAGCTCAATTGTCGCAGTGCGACTAATGATACCAACATAAAAGGCAAGCAGTCTAAAGCGCCTGCGTATTGGGCTTGAGGAACCTGCGCGACACGGGTTAGATTGCGCCTATTGTTGAATGAACCCTCAACTTTTTTTTTCTTTTCAAGAGATTTTGCTATGGGCTATGGATTTTAGTGGCCGTGGCATTGTTCATCGGAGCATTCATTTTAGTGTTAACGTGGAAAGAAAGAAAGAGGGAAATAAAGAAAGAAAGTAAGAAAGAAAGAACTTAGGTTAGGCATGCAGCCAAGCTTTGGTTGCTTCCATTTTCCCGATAGAGGCAGGCCTGTTGATTCATTTTTTTTTCGCTGTAGGGGTGACATTTCAAAAGAGTTCACACAAATACAATGTCCCAACATAGATGACGTTCGCAAAGAAGCAGCCAATCGCAGTATTAAGCTCGCGTCGCCGCGTTTCTGCAACCCACCTCGAACGTCTTCACGCTGACGTCGACGATGAAGGCGAACAGCTGCTTCCAGGCAGCGATCGCTGTGGGCGTCATGGCGGAGCCCAGCTTCTCCACAAGCGTGTCCACGACCGCGGTGCCCATGTGCTCGAAGGCCGTCTTCATGTCGGGGCCGCGGTTCGCGTGCGAAATGGCCACCTTGCGCACGATCTCTTTCGCGGTCTGCGGATCTTCCAAGCTGCGTGGCGGGAACAGATTCAAGCGGGGGTCTCAAACACGTGGCCCACGGACCTTTCGTTCGCGGCCCGCCATGACAAAAAAAAAAAGAAAAAAAATCACACACATCTTTCTGTAAAGGTATGCCATGAATAGTATTCGAAGCAGCCCTGTATCGAGTTAAAGTTCTGTAAAAACGTGCTCTTTAAGTCATCACCGTAGAGGATCATGGTTGCGCACACAGCAGCTTTGCGAGCCCTCGCCTTCGCCGTACTCTTGCTCGTGTCTTCAATCATACTACTACGCTGTGTGTGAGACAGAGAGAGAGAGAGAGAGAGAGTAAGCGCTTTTATTATACAGGGCAGCGCAGTGCCGCTAGCGGTCTCCACTCGTACCAGAGCACGCGCCGGAGTGGAGCGAGCGCTCCATCGCAGAGCCATCTATTGGGCGCTCCGCGTACTATAGCATGGCTACCACGACGGGCAAGGAATAAGCTCGTACCATAGGCTGCTTCGCATATAAAAACAGTCCGTTCCGTATCCTTTTTTTTTTTTTAATTTTCCCAATAAATGTGTACATCGCCAACAAACACATCATGAATAGGTCTCAAGCAGTTTTTTTCTTTTCCGAGGAACCACATGCGATCGCCATTTCTTGAAGCATATAGCTACTATATTGCGGAATTGGCACCCATATTTAAGCCGACCTAGAATTCAATATAGGTGTGTTGTACGAATCCTGAAGGCAAATTCTCTTCAGGAATGAACCTTATGTAAGATAATCAAAAGGCCACCTTCGAATTGCAACGTTAGCTCATATTTTGCACACCCCCCCCCCCCCCCTTCGCTTCTGCTATATAGTATCTCGGCCTTTGTGGGACTAAGTTTGATGATTGTGGTATCCTAGTTCAAGTGAATTTGAGAACCCTGCAATAAAGGGACACCAGAAAGAAAATAAAGGATGTTTTTCTGGTGTAGTCCGTTACTCTTTTACAATAGAAAGATTACCACGCTTGTCGCAGGAAAACTCTTGGCAAGAGAGAAAAGGCGCAAAATGGTAGTGTGGGTGTGCGACACCACCCTGAAATCGCCACACCAAAAGGCGTGACGTCATAAATTTCAACGGCATCTGCTAGATCCTACGTAGCTGCGAACCTGTGAAAATAAGCGAAGTCGTCCTCTGAGTAGGCCGTCGATATAACGGACCACGTTTGGGGACATTTCGTCGAGCCAACGTCGCCAGAATGCGAAAAATACACGCTGAAATCATGCGACGCCACGCGCCGAGATTTGTGCATGATGTCTAAAAATGAAACTTTGTCTTTGATTTTCTCCTCCAACATCAGACCTATGACGGGGCAATCAATGAGATTAGTGTTGTGAGTGTACAACTTATCAATCTAAACTGATTCATTATTTCACTATTGTGTTCCTTTGAGTCTGAAGTGCGGAGATAATTTAATTTCCTTCGTTAAGGTAATTAGTGCCGGCTCAGTTGAATACACTGACGAAATTCGAATTGTTGCGGAGACAAAAAGTCAACTTATTTAAGATAACGCATGGATCTAGTGTGGAATAGCTATTTTAAGTTACCTTGCGGAAGAACGATAAAAGACAGATCGGACTATGATTCAGTACACAAGTGTTAACGCCCTTTTCAAAGACTGGAACTATTTTAACAGCCCTAAGGCAGCTCGGAAACACACCCGAAGAAGGTAGTTTGTCAATAAGTACTGCCAAAGGTGACGGTATATATTATGTTAGAAACAAGTTTTGCTTTGAATTGATCGGTATTATACAAACGTGCACCTGTGCATTGTCTTCAATGATGTAAAAGTGCATCTGCGGACGCCAAATGCAGGTGGAAACAATGATTACACCGTGGTATATCACGTAAATGACTTGCCAATTGCTGCGTATACCCATAGATGCGCATGAATTCTCAATGAATGTGGTGGCTAGTCTTTCAAGGTCGGCATCGATTTCGTCGCCTTGATTAATTTTTATTGCGGGCGCTGAGCAGTACCCTTGCTCAAGAATTATTTGGTAATTTGCCGACAGCGTCTCCTGTTTCCTGTGTCGTTTGCGACGAGACTAAATTAGTAATTCGCCTTGAACGCCTCAATAAAGAAGCTAATGTGGTAGAGTGTTTGTGAAAGCCACCAGATGACTACTTGAAGTGTCGCAAGTCCCCTTTTAGCATAATGCATGTCTGCGCTGCGTGTCGCTCTTCGTAATCTTGCAGATTCTTCTTGCATGGGCCCATGAAGAGCCAGGACACCCAACAATAGGACTTGAGGTGGTATAACGTGCCTTTCCAAACAAAGGGACACAATTTTAGGATGGCACGTTGTCAAGGCGATAAGACTAGTGCTGCTCCAGGTTTGCTTTGGGTATACACAAAAGGAAGCCACGGGACTGGAAACTTGAGGCAATAATGCTTGCGTTTGGGTTAGTTGGTGCATACTTGGAACATAATGAATGGATATATGTTGTTTGATGATTGATTGATTGATTGATTTGTGGTGTTTAACGTCCCAAAACCACCATATGATTATGAGAGACGCCGTGGTGGAGGGCTCCGGAAATTTCGACCACCTGGTGTTCTTTAACGTGCACCCAAATCTGAGCACACGGACCTACAACGTTTCCGCCTCCATCAGAAATGCATCCGCCGCAGCCGGGATTCGATCCCGCGACCTGCAGGTCAGCAGCCGAGTACCTTAGCCACTAGACCACCACGGCGGGGCGGATATATATTGGTATACACAAACTAAACCAAACGATAGTGTTATAGTGTTACTGCCCCCTTTAAATGTGTTGATCTCTCTTCCCTCTCTCCTCCATCTTTCATCTCCCCATCTCCCTCCCATGCGCAGGGTAGCAAACCGGCTCCCTACAGACTGGTTAACCTCTCTGCCGTTCTTTTCCCCTATTTTCCTTCCTTAAATGTGTTCATTGCGCAATGCATTCACTTGTGGCAGAGTATGCGTAGTATCACTATAAGCCTTCACGTAAAACCCTTCCTTCAAGGGACTTTGCGGTATTATAAATAAATAGGTAAATAAATAAAAAACCCTGTACGAAACACACGTACCTGTCGACGATGGCGGTGATGGCGTACGCGAAGGTGAGCGCGTGCGCCAGCATGCGCGGGTTCTTGGCCAGATCGCCGATGGGTTCGTCGGCGAACGCCGTGAACAGCTGCTGGTACTCCGGGTGGCGCATGAAGAGCACCACCAAGATGGTGACGCTGCCCGTGCGCAGCTGCTTCTTGAAGGACAGCCACGTGTCCCTGATGACGTGCTTGTCGTGGCCCGACAGGTTGGTCACGCCGTCCTGCGCGTGTGCGTCGGCGCTGGACGAGTTGCCCATGGTTCGCTCCTGCTGTCGCCGACGAGGGGCAAACATGGATCCCCTCCGTGTCGGTTGATGATGATGATTCCCGTAAGAATGGTACAACCCACTACGGAGGATCGGCCACGAGACGTGTGGCAGTAGAATTTGTGAACAAAAATAAAGAAATAAAAAAAGCTTGGACCATGTCCCCGAAAAGAACCCTGATGGAATGCGAAACAACAGCGTTGCGCTTGGGTGGCTTCACGGATTGAACGGTGTTAACGTGGGTGCTGCGGTGAGCGCTAGATTATTCGTTTGAAGCGATGGCTAGCGTATGTCTCTTGTAGGTGACACGTACTGCTGACATGTTTCAACGCGTGTGTTAGGCGCGCGTCAGGTTTACTGCGAGTCGGCGGTTCACGCGAGCGGTGATTGCGGCAGGTGTTGTGGTCCAACGGACGAGGCGGCCACTGCGAGTGCCGCGTCGAGCGCGTGGCAGGTGAGGGAGAGAGTGACGTCAGTGCGCTCTGCGAGGGGAGCGGGACTTCAACGCGCAGCAGCGGCGTGACCTACTTGGCACCGCGCCAACACCTGCGGCGTGTTCGTACGGAGGGACAGCGTTACACATGCTAGTCAAGGAGCTGCTTCGGATCTAATAAAGTACGACATGTGCCGTTTGGGGGCGCTGCGACACGCGTCTTCGTCTTTTTCTGCTAGGCATATAGATAGCTTCCATTGACGTCACTGAAACCACCATGTTGGTGCGCCGCATGGCACACGCAAGGTTTGTGACATCGCTTGTTAATGTTATCGTTAGATCAGTGGCAAGTTCTCGTTTTGTTTACCCACAGAGGCCAAAAAATTCTCGCGGCATCGTTGTCATACTGAAGCAGGTTAAACGCGATATGTTTAAGCTGCCTTTAGATGATCAAGACCGTCATGTTGGTAAAGCAGTACGTTATGAAGCGGCGTCCATGACATCACATGCAAGTTATCTATACCAATGTTTATGGCATATATAATGATGGATCTTCTACGGCGCGCACCCTCTTAACGGCATTGGCCAGTAGGTTCTAAAAACTCACAGTATCCCTCATGCATTTGCTTATCGAAGGCGATAGCCTTATCAGTCGATGTAACGATCCTCAGTCGACGTAACGACGTTACATCGACTTCTAAGTCGATGTAAGGATAGAACATGGGAGAGGCCTTTGTCTTGCAGCGGGCGTAGTTGGGCTGATGATGATGCTGCCGTACTTTAAACATGGCTTAGCTGTTTGCAAACTCAGGCCCTGGGTGGCTGCTGGTTTCCTCCGCGGGCGTAGCGCACTAGAATGGTCATGTCACGAAGAATTCCCATTCCTAGACATGAAAATTTCCCAGCACAATGGTATAGTAATGCGCGCGAACGAGCAGACACTCGTACGCATCTCTGAATGCGTGTGACATGTCGGCGCGTTCCGTACGTGTCCTACAATGCATGTCTAGACATGTCGACGTATTCAAATCGTGACTTGCACCAGCTGTCCTACACAACACGGAGAGCACGGCCTTCGTAAAGCATGTGTTGCAAGTACGCTTCATCTCCTACTTCCACTTCGGTGAAACACACTCAATCGCCAGCGCCCTCTGCCGCGCCTATCCTCAATTTCCCCTGAGCTTTTCGTCGGAGCCAGACGTGGCGTTGTCGTCGCTCAGCAAACTTGAGGTTTGGTTCCCTGTAACGCGCTCTTTGTTCATATCTTCAGAGGCTGCTTAGTGACCCTTGAAGATTATCGCACGTGATGATATCGTAGTGACGTTAGCGCGTGCCGATATCGTGAAGGATGCGCAATCGTTTTCGCTTGTGTAGCGCTTGCGCACTTGTCGAGTACGTTCTGTGTTTTTTTCGTCGGAATAAACGCTGATGACGACCAGTGCTCGTCCAGATTACATGTCTATGCCAAGTTTACGTTTCAGCCACTGACGGTAAAGGTAATTTTCCGTCCACTCTAATTCCAGTATATGGCATCGCACACCAGGTTACACAAAGAACATGCACACAAAGGGACGACTCAGCGCTTGTGCCGTCCCTTTCTGTGCGTATCCTTTGTTTAACCTGGTGTGCGTTGCGATATGCCCTAATGTGTTACCAACTAGCCCGCTAAAACGTTTTAAGCACATCGATTCACTTTAATTTGCGTTCTGATACTACAATTAAGGACAAGAAATAATGGCTCGAATAGTTTCCCTGGTCCAATTGTTTGTTGGTTTCGTTTGAGTGTGTCATTTATCGTGGAAACGAGCCCTCGGAAAAAAATTTCGTTTATTCTCTGGTGTACTCCTATTTCTGATTTGCGTTGTGAAGATGTATGCGTTAGTATTGATGCGTGCATCAGTTTGCGACAAATAACGTGTTATTTCGTTTGCATTGCAATACTCTATGCATTGCAATACTCTTGCATTGCAATACGCATAGAATTTCGGAATGTATAAACCGCTTGCACGTACTGGCACTTCACGGCAGCTGCTTCGATCATAAGTGCGCGCAGACTTGTCCTTCAAGGGGGGAAGGGGGGGTGGAGGTTCGTCGAAGCGCCCCTCAGTTAAGTCAACGTACGCGGCAGACTTCGAGTCTTCCATCCCTCCTGTTAGGTCACTACCGGGGGGCAGCCCCCCCCCCCCCCCCCCCCGCTTCTTCCCCTGCGCACAAGCTTGGATGACACGGGGGTTGGGGTTAACCAGCTTCAAACATGCGATAAAGATATTGCAAGAACGCTCAGAGCGTAAACAAAGATAGTAGGCGTATGCTGTGTTGCGTTATAATCAATGTGAAATCTCAAACTTCGCGTCCCTTATGCTGGTGCTCAACAACACGGTCGTTCCAGTGACGTCAATGCAAGCTATGCTATAGACGTTTACTCATGGGTTTTAGTGACATAATATTGGGCTGACCTTGCCCGTACTCCGTCTTTAACAACTGACCAAGAGGCGGAAATGTTGTAGGCCCGTGTGCTCAGATTTGGGTGCACGTTAAAGAACCCCAGCTGGTCTAAATTTCCGGAGCCCTCCACTACGGCGTCTCTCATAATCATATAGTGGTTTTGGGACGTTAAACCCCACATATCAATCAACAACTGACCAAACAGTGCAATGGTATACAGTCACGAGCACGTGACCGCCCAAGCATTCCTTATAGATCAACAGGATTGAAACGTGTAGCCACTCGCGGTTGCACACGTGGCAGCCGAAGTGCCGCTCGAGAAACTCCCGCCGAAAGCGGGCGGTGGCCCCGGCAGACGCATTCGCGCCGTTGCCACGTTGACGCTTCTCTGCCGGCGACGCCGCTTCCTCGACTTGCCGTTGTCGCTTACATTCGGCACGGAAGGCTTCCACGCTGCGCAGTTGCTTCTTGCGCTGCGCTACTCCGGCCTAATCTTGTTCCCGGACTGCTGCATCGGTCCGGTGAACATGAATCCCCTCACGGAGGTGTCAGCGCTGTTCTTGGGAAGCTGTCTTTTGTTGGGGGATTTTGTACCATCGGTGCCCTCCCCTTGTAGACGTTGTAAGTTGAAACTATTGGGAGCGGGCTTGGTGGCATGGCTGCCAAGGGATGAACGACGTCACTGACCGCGCAGCCAATGGCACGCGTGCTCGGATATGACGCAGATAATAGCGTCACTATGACGCTGCCAATGGCTCACACGCTGGGTGCGACGTGGAAAACGACGTAAGCGCAGCCGATATTCGTGGTGCACAGTTTTTCCTTTCGCCTAGCTTTATACAGTTTTTGCTGAAAAATAGGGGGAGCAGCTTTCATTAGCCATGTAAAGCTCAAGAAACGGTGAAGCTGGTTGAATCTTAGGGGCTTAACGATACCCTCTTGGCTGACGCTAGGTCTTTCCTTGGCGTAGGCAGAGTTGAGTCCAATCACAGCCTGTAACAGACCATGCGAGAATGTCCAAACTATAGAGCCTGAACTAACGTTCAAAGCTGGTTGTGGCACCCCCGGCACTGAAGCGCGGTCCTTTCGTTGCTTGTACTCGGCTAGCGCCACGCCGGAAAACTCGATGCGGCGGCTGTGCTTCGTCGGTGGGTGCGGCTGATAATCAACGGTGCGGAGGTTTTTTTTTTTTTTTTTTGACACCCGACAATGCACGTCGAGGGTTTTTTCGCGGACACCCGACGTTGTACGTTGAGCTTTAATAGCTTCGTTCTCGAAATAATAATAAAAAAGGCTTAACAGTCCAAGTTGACGGCTTCCGTGTGTATTACGTAATATACTCTATGAAAGCACACAACACACGAGCTGCGTATATCGGGACGTTCGCGATGAAGTGGTGTCAACCAACTGTCGTTGATGATCGCTACAGAGTGATATCGCAAGAAACTAATAACATTTATGACAGCATACATTGGTTTTCTTATGAGTGAACCATGTCAAAACCTTTCATCGAGAGCATAGCAACCAACACATTTGTTCTTTGTCCGCAGGCCGTTACACCCTTCGTGCTTGTGCGTCGTTTTTGTATCGCCATGGAGCGTCTCTATTTCCTGCGACAGGGAGGCAAGGATTCCAAGGTACGTAACGAAACCTTTTTACAGACGTTTAATGGGGAAGGAAAAGTCTACTTTTTGTACTGTGCGCGAAGCAGCTTACGCTCCAGGTTGTGTCCGTCTCTCGGCGACCGTCCGCTCCCTCACTGCGCATGCGCCAACTCTCGCACCAGGAGGTGGGAGGATCCTCTCCTCGCGTGAAAACGAGGAGGTGGAAGAGCGCTGCCTCTGCTTCGTTTCTCCTCTCCCGTTCATCTCTCTGCCACAGCTGTGCGCTCGTATATAATGCTGATGCTGCGCGCGCTCGCTCTTTTACACTCTCCTTGCAGCGCTGGGTGTTTGCTTTTCGGCACACACACAGTAGTACACACGAATGGGAGGGCGGAGGGTGCATCATGAGCGGTAAAGAACACATCTAAACACATGTGAACACCAGTGATGCTTCGCATCCTCACATGGTTTCTTTTATCGCGAGGTGGTGTAATTTTTTGTGTATGTCTGTGTGTGAAAAATTTCCGGAAATAAAATATTAGGCG